CCATTTGGGAGCGCGAGCGTAAGGTCCTCCTAATCAGTAATTAGCTGCGGAGTGCACAAATACCTAAGTGTAGCGCACTTATACTATACAATTATTATTTTTGAATATTTATTGACGCGCTGCGCTGTCACCTCACCAATACACTAACAACCAGCAGCAGCACCGACAGAGGCAAAGCCCTAAGCAACGACAAAATGTTCGCCGTAATGAGAATCGACAACGATGACTGCCGGTCGGATTTCCGTCGCAAGATGCGCCCAAAGTGTGAGTTTATTTGCAAATATTGCCAGCGGCGTTTTACAAAGCCCTACAATCTGATGATACACGAACGCACCCACAAATCGCCCGAGATAACGTATTCCTGCGAGGTTTGCGGCAAATATTTCAAGCAACGCGACAACCTGCGTCAACACAGGTGAGTGGACAAAAAAAATAAATAAAAATTTAAAATCTAAAAATTTCAAGATGTAACTATAATAAAAAAAAAATCAAAATTCTAAAAAAGTAACCAAAAGTTTTTATAAAAATAAGTACCTATGTAAAAATATTTCTTCAGCGTAAGAAAGTCAATAAGCAAACGTTTCGGACTTAAAAAGACACTAGAAATGTAATGAAGGAGAGACAGAACTATGATTGTGCTATGTGAAAAAACTCAGCTTGAAGGGCTGTCTGCAGCTCTCAAGAAAAACAAAAAATTTATATCAAATGAAAATAAATTGGCTCTCAAAAACAAATGCTTGTTATTTCTTTAGAAAATTTGCAGCAACCGCTGCGTATTTTTTCAAGCAACAGATATAATAAAAAATATTTCTTGTGATTTTTCTTCTGAAGAACTGCAGACAGCGCTTTAAACACAATTACCGTTTTTTAAGTTTTAAAATGTCAAATAAGGCAAGCTAATTGGAAATATCGGCGGTATTTTGGCAAATCTCGTATCCCAGGCATAAAATCAGCTCTCTATTAATAAAAAAAAAATATATATTTTTGATAAATTTTTGAACTTAATATTAAAGATTAAGTATTTTTTAGTTAATTAAGAATAAAATATAATGAAACATAGTATGTACTTATTTTAAGGCCAATTGTGAATTAATTTCCATAGTGATTTCTGAAATGTGATTTTGCCAAAGTGCCGTCGATATGCTCCAGTTCTCAACTCCACTTTTTGAGGTCGTTTGAAAGACAAAGCAATAATTTTTCACAGCTTCTAAATATAAATTCAAGCCGTACAGCAAAACTTTAGTGTAAATACAAATATGTGTGGACTTTTGCTTGACGTCATATAAATACATACATAGTATGTATGCACTTAAATGCATATGTAAGTATGTAGAAAAGTGCGAAATTTATACAGAAAAATGTCGTGTGAAAATTTACTTGCTGAAAAGCAAATAGATAGCAATCAAGCAAGTGCCAAGTCGCGTTCAACAAGTTTCCTTTTAAAATTTACTGTGATTCTTATTTATTTGACAACCTAAATAGTGATTTTGAGCTGTGATTTTATGAAATTCTCCTAAGTTTGTGCCTACATAAAATCTGTGCAAATAATAATTTTCTATTGAAATCTATGTACTTAGCAAATGATTTTGAAGCGACTACTTTATATTATTTGTATGCTTTACATACATACATAAGCATGCACAATTGTATAAACATAGGCACATGTATGTATTTGAATGCTCAAATAGATAAAAGTAAAAGCCTTTTCTTCCGCGTAGTCTTATACTTTTCACCGAAAAAATTCAGTCTTTATTTGTTTCTGGCTTGCTATTTTAAGTCGGCCGTTGCTTCTTAGAAAATGATGACAAGTTTTAAATAAGTAGATAGGCAACGAGACATTTGTACATATTTTGGACTAAAGTAGAACACCTGGAAATTTTACTAGTTACACATATTTGTATTTCCTCAATGTACGTCCGCAAAAAATGCCCAGCCAAGGTGCTGTAACCAGCTTCTGGACTCTTAAGAAGTGTCAACTTGGTGTTGAGAGTGTTGTTTTTGGATTGTCTTCTGTTCATATGGCAGCTTGGTGAGACCAGTTGCAATAAAACTTCGAAAACTTTATACTTAAGAGCGCGGAACTTGAATCCAAGCTGATATTGTGAACAACAGAGAGCTTAGGAAACAGTTTTTTCAACCCCAAACTGACTTTGCAACCACTATCTTGTAGAGAAGATGAAAAACTCTCTGTTCCTCGTTTTTGTTTTTGCATCTTCTACGAAATAATAGTACACGTTTTTCAACATATTTACCTATAAAGAAATAACTTCAATGGCCATGCCTTCTTAGAGAACACCGTGCGACAAAAACAAAAAAACATTTCAAAGCACACGAAAGAATCGATATAATCACGAAACTATGCGCCAAATATAGTAAAACTGAGTTTTTATTTTTTTGAAATTTTAAAGACATGATTAATTAAAAAAATTATAAAAAAAAATCAGTGCAATGTAGAATAAAAATATGTATACCAAATGAAAGTGAAAATTCTGTAAAATTTAAAAACAATAAAGTTTTTTGGTTTACAAGGGCAAGGTATTGAAAAGGTGCGTTTAATAAATCTTATTTTTTTTTAAGTAAATAAAATTTGCAGGACGAAATTCGACGATGCGGTCGTGTGTATATTAGTCCTCAAACAATAATTTTTTCCGAACTAAGTGTTGTAAATTTTTAAGGATATTTAGGAACATAATTTTTTAAGGACATTTTACATACCCAGTCGTCCTTGTGCACCAAAAAATGCAAACAATTTTTCTTTTATGTGATACCCTTATTGCTTTCTACATTACACAAAATTTTTTAAATAATTTTTTGAAATATTCATATTTTTTTAAATTTCAAAGTCCTCTTAAAACAAATCCTGACGTCAGAGAGAAAAACTAACTATGAAGGTTTACTATAATTTGCCCATAGTTTCGCAAATATATAAATTTTTGTGTGTGTAAAATTTACTGCCGCACGATGGAATATACATTTCCGAATTAATTTGCAGCCTCTGTACTCATAAGCTATAGCTTTGGCATATAAGATAAGTTTGGGCGATACAACTCTTCCTTCCACTTCACTATTGAGCCTGAAACGATTTGTGAAAGCATTCCCTGCTTGTGATCTTCATATTAAAATTAAAATATGGAACCAATGTTTAAGCACCCTTGTTCGGGCTGCCTGGAAGAAAGTCCCGAATTAACGCAGATGCCGAGGCACTTGGACCAGCTTTCTATGCCACCAAGTGGCCTCCACATTGCCACAGTGGAGTTCCTATGCCTAAAAACGTGGTTTTAACCAGTACTACCCAACCAGAAAAGAATACGAAAAAGCTGTCTTTCTGAAACTTTTCGTTCAATATGCTTTCTTCTGCACTTCACAGATGCTTTTCATAGTTGGAAAAAAATTAAGGAAGCGGCTGACGGCATTCCTGTTTAAAAAAAAAAAAAAAATTAAATAATTATATAAATAAAAAAAAAAGTCAGATTCGGGTACCGAAACCGCACTGTTTTTGAACATTTTTTGGATACGAAAATTAACGAAAATTGTTGTAATTTTCTGTACGTTTCCGGATACGAAAAATGTACTAGACCGCACTGTCGGCAAAGTTTTAAGTCATTCTGTTGGCTTCGTCTGGCCGTCGAAGCCACTCCGTCCATAAGTATTTACTTATGAACTCCATCAGAGCATTATTCGCCCCCGCCAAACCCTCTAAGGACTTCTGGTTTTATACTGTTTAACGCTCCTTCAATTTCTGAAGCTGAACAAATTTTTGATAAAGGTGACTACATACATATGCACACTAGACTGCATACAAAAAAAAAATGGTAGTGTTTTTCCACCAAAATGCACCAAAATATTTCGGCAAAATATTATAATTTTAAATTTTGCTTTTTTTATTAATAAAACAGTTTTTTGTTTTTTTTTGTTTGAAAAAAAAAAATTACCTCAGATGACAAACCACCTTAAACTTAAAAAAATTTGCATAAAAATATTAAAAAAAATATTTTCAATCGAATCATAATAATGTGATTTTTAATGCTGTTTTTGAACTTTTTTCCCAGACTGATTTAAGAAAAACTTGTATAACTGAGCCAAAACTTTACCTATTTATACTTATAAGGTTTCATTGGAAAGGTGTTTTCTTACCCTTACCAAAGTATGAAAGCGAAAGGTTTTGGCACAGTTATTCAAGTTTTTCTTAGACAAATCTTTGAAAAAAGTTAAGAAACGGCATACAAAATCTCATTATTATGATTCTATTGAAAATTGTTTTTAAATATTTTTATACTGATGTGATTTTTTTTCAAAAAATACTTTAAAAAGCTATTTTTATTCCTAAAAGCTCTATTTTTGGAGGTATTTTTAAAACGGTCCAGCTCACGCAAATCTTAATATTTTGCCGAAATATTTTGGTGAAGGTCCTAAAATATAATAGATTTTGTAATCCCGGCGGAAAAAATGCAACTTTTTTTTGGTGATGCAGTCTAATGTACATAGATATAACTTCAGAGAAAATTCATCTGCCCACTACTCTGCATGAGTAAGGTCAATTCTACTTCATCGAAGTTTCTTTACGAGAGGACAGTAATCCGACTTCTAGGATATTGCAAATGAAAATTTATTTTTTCTCTCACTGTTTCACAAATTATATGGTTTGGAGGATTGGGTATTTGGCAAAACTCCCATCGGGCATTTGATCTAGGATAATTAGCTTTTCGCCAATGAAAACCAATTTTTTCCTCCAATACCTGCCGCTCGGGGTAATTGACTTTTTACAATGGACAATTTACCGCTAACCCTCTCTGACATAGTAAAGCTCGAGGAAAGGGTAAACAAGGCGTCGAAATCATAACAGTGCTATGTATAGAAGGGCAAACGCAGCGGCCTGTCGCCTGTGGTGGTTTATTGGCTCTGTGAAACCACTGATGGATCGAAGTTGAATGGAAAGTTCGGTGGGGTTGTTTTCTGCGAGGAGCTTTCCATCAGCCTTATATTTAGGATAACTGGAGTGTTTTTCAATTAGTTGTAGTCGCTTTAAAGAAGCAGTGCATTTAAATTTAATTACAAATATATATGCATATACGCATTCTGATAGCCAGACGATCTTTGATGAAATGTTCGGCCAAGGAATGCCTGAATTCACTGTCTTGTCTGATCGCATTAGGTTTCCTCGCTATCAAGCGTATATCGTCACTAGACACGAATAAAGGCGCGAGCTCAATAGTTGACCGCGAAAAAAGACGCATACAAAAAAACTCAGCGAAGAAAGACTCTTAACATAGTTGTTGGCGAAGAAAGACACGTTAAAATATTTGACGGCGAAGAAAGACCCGTAAACCTATTTTCGCGGTCGACTATGTTTGCGGGTGTAACAGTATGTAAACTCCCCCAGGAGTATTTAGGGAATGATGCTGAAGTGACAGTCCT